GAGTGCTTAGTGTTGGGTGACTCCATTATACGCAATGTGGAAGCTGAACATATGAGGGTACAGTGTTTTCCAGGAATTAGAACTGAGCAACTGCAGCGAGTCATAGACAACAGAGATCTAGGGGCCCCTGATACTGTCGTAATTCATGTAGGCACTAACGATCTAAGACGAACTGGAAATCTGGATTATGTGATGGGTGATGTATATGCTCTGGTGAAGAAGGCTAAGACTAAGTTTCCTCAAGCCACTTTAGTTCTGAGTGGCGTACTTAGGCGCAGAGACGTGTCGTGGCGGCGTATTGGAGCACTAAACGACAGATATGACTGGGTAGCGAGGTCACTAGGAGTTACATTTGTGGACCCAAACAGTTGGATTGAGGACTGGGACTTCGGCAGGGATGGACTACACATAAACAGTAGCGGAGCGAGGAAACTAGGCCAGCTGTATTCCAGAGTGTGTGACTTCGGCGGCCGAGTGCAAAATCGGAACGAGTGACTGCTGCTGAGGGTTAACAATGAGGGAACGCCTGGAAGGATGACGAACACGATTACCGAGGATCCGACGCTAACCGGGGCGGCGACAAGGAGACAGGAAGACACAAGTGATGGATGTGTAGCTACGGGAGGGGCACAGAAGATAGAGGGCAATTCTTTGGTTTTGCTTCAGGTAAATTGCAGGAGTATTCTTAATAAATCTTTAGAATTTTGGAATTTAATTGATACATATAATCCCGATGTTATAATAGGTACGGAGTCATGGCTCAGAGAGGAAATTAGCAATGCCGAAGTTTTTAGGGACGAGTACACAACTTTCAGGAGAGATAGGAATACTAGAGGTGGTGGAGTGTTTATTTGTGTAAAGAATTACATTGCTTGCGTGGAACTATGGGTGGACGAGGATTTCGAAATGATTGCAGTTGAAGTGAAAGGCAGAGACCCTAAATGTACATGGGAAATTGTAGGCATCTACAGAGCTCCGAATGAGGATATGCGGGTTATAGAAAGACTGGCAGCCCGAGCCGATTCTTTAGGAAATTTTACAAAGCGTAGCATTATTGCAGGAGACTTAAACTTGCCCTACGCCGATTGGAATGGAAACGTGCAATGCACTAGTGGAGGTCAGGAATCTGTAAATAGATTGGTGTGGGAAAGTGGGTACACGCAGATAGTAAACAACTCGACACGAGGGGATGCATTGCTGGATGTATACTTAGTCCGGCCGGAAAACCTGTTTACCTCTTGCAGCGTTATACAAGGGATCAGTGACCATTGTGGGGTGTTATTAGAAGTAGAATGGGAAGACACATACTGTCGACCAGAAGTAGAAAGACTGGTACCGGTGTACCACAAAGCAGATACCATAGGTCTACAAAGTTTTCTCCGTGATAAATTTGCAATATGGGCAAGCAATGGTGGATGCGTTGAGGAAGTATGGAATAATTTCAAGAACATAATACTTCAGTGTATCGAAAGATTTATTCCACATAGAATACTCAGAAAAAATTCAGACCCTGACTACTACAATAAGGAAGTGAAAAAATTAAAATTAAAGGTCAGAAAAGCATATAATAGAAGAAAATTAGGGCAGCAGTATCGAGAGGAACTGAAGCGATTATCCAAGCAGTTGTTATTAGCCAAGCAAAATGCGCAGGAGATATTTTTAAGGACTGTATTAAAAAATGAAGGTAACTGCTGGACTGAGTTCTATAAGTATGTAAAAAGACGCAAAGGAAATAGGGAAAATATTCCTGCAATCAAAGATGTTAATGGACGACTCGTTACGGATTCGATAGAAAAGACTAACTTCCTCAACTTATATTATTCTTCCGTATTCAGCAGTGAGCGTAGCATTCCGCAAATACAGCACGATA